GACATCCCCTTTCTCCGTTCGTAAAACTCACCATGGCATGATCATCTGGGGAGGAATTTTGTTCCTGTTTCTTATGAGGAAAGTATATCGAGCTAAGCAAGTCTGTGTGTCAGCTTTCTAAACATTCTGTTTGTTAGAATAATTTTGGAATTTGAGTCTACTGATGATTACATTTTTACTGAAATACCACTTCTTTATCTTATTCAAAAAGTCAACATTAACTACTCCACATGACCCCCTTCTGTGGATCTCTTTTTCCTCTCATCAGAATCTTCTTGTGCAGACTTCCAGTGTAGAGATTACTGCCCTCTGCTCTAGAGAAAGCTTCAGTAGATCTGGAAGTTGGGCCCAGAAATCTGAGGCCTGGTCTCCACTGTCATGGTGTTGAGAGGTGTTAGGACCCATAGGCCGTAATTCCACCAGGGGCACTGCTCTCCTGAATACGTTAATGTCTTTCTCAACAGGCATTCAGTTCTCAGCAAGCGTGTATCACTCTCAAGCCTGGCACCTCCCTTACATTCCTTCCCCATGTGTCCACTTGCTCTTTTCGTTTTCTGCAGTGACACAGCACAGCCCAAGGCCCTTGTCCGGAGCATGCATGTATGGGTGTGTGCTCTTGGGCTTCCAGAAACGAGCCAGAATAAACCTTTTCCCTTTATAAATTACCCAGTGTGTTAAACAGCTTCCCATCACTATAACAATTAACTGAGGTAATCAACTTCTGGAGAGATTTTTTTTTTAAGCCTTTGTCTTAAAAGTTCCTGTGGCCTTACTGCTTTGGGCCGTGGCAGCGCCTCCTAGCAAGAGTATGTGGTGGCGCAGTGACCTTCAGCTCATGACCATAGACAAAAGAGATGCTGAGGCAGACTCCAGGGTCCCTGTCTCCTTCCAGGGCATGCTCTCAGTGACCTAAAGACCTGCCCATTAAGGCCCTGTCTTTATTTTCTTCCCCCCAGTAGTGTCAAGGCCTTTAGCTATGGGCCTTTGGGGGGCATTCCAGATCCCAGAATAGCACTTGTGCTCAGGTTATCGTAGCAACAGAAAATAAACCGTAACAGTAGGTCTTTTGTGTTTCTGTTGTTCTGGGGATTGAACCCTGAGCCTTCTCAGTGAACTATTCCCCTGTCATTTTTCAGTGAGTTAGAGTCTAAGTTGTTAAATTGTCCAAGCTGGACTCAAACTTAATGATCTTTCATCTTCAACAGTAGATCATTTTCTCTTGTTTCTTGGTTTGTGTGTGCATACATATATGTGTGTGTACATGTGTGCACACACATGCTGAGGTTGAGCCCACTTTCTTGTATGTGCTATACCATAACCCAAGCCACTGTTATTTGTAAATGCCAATAGAAAACTCTGACTCTTCTCTAGATAGGTTTTGTATAAATCAAAGATGGTATTATCTCCTTGGGGAATTGGTGACCATATTGCAGTAATTGGGCCTTTTTCCCCCCTAAAATACCTTGTTTTGCTAAAACTTTTTAAATTAAGCTGCCCCTTTTGAGAGTTAGATATAGTCAACCCAGTCATGGGCTGTGAAGAGCGTTGAACATACAAGGTTGATTATTACATGCAAGAAACTGAAGTGGGAGTTGTCAGTATCTTTGGAGGTGACAAATGCTTCCTGAGTTATGCAGAAACAAATATTGTAGGATTTGCTGTTAATGCTTCATCTCAATTTCAGTGCTGCAGCCAGGGAGTTAGGTCAATTTGCTAGAAAATTGAATAATATATTAGAAAACATTTCTATTATTCCAGATTCTTTTTTAAACTCTATGCCTTTTTAAGGACTAACGGAATGGAAATATGTCACTACAAGTGACTGGAAGGAACATGATCTATCGGAGGATGCCACGCCTCAGTATCATAGGACATATGAAGAGCGGGAGAGGGGTGTTGGTGTGCTGGCTCTCTGGGTGATGCCATGCTGGGTGTTCAGGTCTCTTTCCTCACCAGTGAATACACATGGTCTAGAGTTGTAAGACTTTTGGATGTTGTTACAAGATTCCTTACTATACTTTGAAATTAGTATTTCAAAGAATATTTCCTAGATTCTGTCAAGACTTGCATCAATAACTAGGATGGAAATTTCAGGTCCAGTTGACATTTTCCTTTACTTTTGATAATTGCGCCATCCTAATCCATGTGGATGCTTACCATATCTATATAATTAAGATTAAACATGTGTGCCTTGGTCACTTTCCTGTCACAGAACAAAATACTCAAAGCCCCCAACTTAAAGGAGGTCAGGTTTATTTGAGTCAGTGTCCTGTAGGTTCATTCCAAAGTCAAATGGTGCCAAGGCGGAAGCAGCAGTTGGAAAGGGCTTCACCCAGGCTGCTTACCCCATAACAGCCAAGAAGAACTAGAGAGAAGGGGGAGCTAGGGGCAAGAGTGTACCCTTCCAGGTGCCCCCACCCCTCTCCGACCCCATCCTGGCTCCACCTCCTTACGGCCCTTGGTGTGAATCCACCAAAAAGTGTTGGCAGTTCCAAACAGGAGATTTTTGTGAAAGCATGGTATGTGTAGAAAAATAAAAAAGTGGAAACACGCACAGGAATCAATGTAAGCTGAGTTCTGTGGATGAACAGAAAGTAGTTCCTACTGAGGTGAAAGGACAAGATTTAATGGAAGGAGAGCATTTGCTGACTTCTGAGGGGAGTGGAGCTCTGGTAGCTGAGAAAATAAAATACGAGCAGTACAGACAAGGACACAGAGCCTGGAGCAAAGGTGGGGCCAGTGTGAGGAATATGTTATCATCTGGTGTGGCCAAATTCAGAAAAATAATACAAAACTAGGTTGTGGGAAAGCAGGTTAGGGCCAGAGTTAAACTGGAACAGGAGGCAATAAAACAGACGTCCTCAGCAGAACAGGAAAAGTGAGCACTGGGGAGTTCAGCAGTAATATTGCTCGTGCTTGACATTATTTCTCTGAGAACGTATTTTTCAGCCACTTATGACACAAGTACAGTATATAATTTGCAGAATCTTAGCAGTGACATGGTCCATCATATTTCTTAGCCATTTAATGCTTTTCTAGAGGCTTTTCTTTTTCCCAGTATATTTCTGCTTCTTCTTCAAGACTGCTAGCTTTAATTTTTATTTATTTGTGTGTGTGTGTGTGTGTGCGCGTGTGTGGCCAGCTCAGCCCACCAGGGGTAGAGCTGGCTGGCATGTGGTGCTGGGGGATTGAACCGCGGTTCCTGTGCTTTACTAAGCTTGTTCTAAGTAGGTGCTTTAGACCACTGAGCCATCTCACCAGCCCAAGACTGCTAGCTTTATAGCTTGCATAGTCTTTTTTTTTTTTTTTTTTTTTTTTTTTGGGTTTTTTTTTTTTTTTTTAAGAACAAAAAAGATACAGTACAGATTTTCAAAACAAGATAATAGGAGATTAATAGTGGTTTATGTATTGTGTATTATCTTCAAAGTAATTCAGATTACAAGATGAAGGCTTGCATTATTGATCAAATAATATAAGCACAAACCATTTTTTCCAATGAACTAGAAGTCAGTAGTGTAATTCTCTATCTTTCGTGTGTATATTTATATGTGTATGTATTTTTTCTTCTGTTTTTCCTTTCACCCATCCCAGTTCTTTGAGCAGTTTCTTTTGTGACATAGTTCACAGTGTTTCTTTCTATGCCCTTGTAGCCATGTGTAGTTGTTTTTAAATTATACTTATTAAATGGGTTATCTAGCACATAATGTTTCTTCTCCGTTAAAGCTCTGTTAAATTAGGAGCTTTTTGTAGAATCTAGAATGATACAAAGTTTGACTTGTTCTTAATGTGTGTATGAGCAAACAAAAGGTAGCCCTTTGCTTTTTCTCTTTTATTCTCTACCTTTGTGTCAGTACCCATTTGCTCTTAAAAGTAAATGTCAGTTACATTGTAAGTGGGAGCCTGTATGGGGTTTGGTTTGGTTTTTTGTTGTGTGTGTGCGCACGCACGTGCACTATTGAGACTTGAACCCAGTAGTGTTGTTCTGAACTACATGCCCAGGCCTTTGTGAGAGTGGAGGAGGCTGCCCTTGAACTTTTGATCCTCTTGCGTCGGCCTCCTAAGTAACTGGGAATATAGGCATGCATAATCATGCCTGGCTTCTATGGAACAGTTTTATTTGGGATTTTTTTGCCATGTTTGCAGCGTTCTCTGGTGTGTTTTTCATTGACCTCTTAGGATCTAAAACTAACATGATTACATTCCTTCTTTAACCTGTTTTATATGGGAAATTCCTTCAAATATAAGCATTGCTCAGCTGTTAACCGCCTTGACCTGCACACGCAGATATCTGTATAGACATAGCTATTGGGATATATTTTGGGGTGGAGTGAGTCAGGGAAAACAAGCACATCCTCAGTTTAGCATTGTATAATCAAAGCTTGATCCATCATGTGATGGTAGCTGGACTACCATTTGAAAACAAGCCATCAGCTTTGAAGAAATTGGGGGAATGTTTTCGGTACTTAGTTTGGAATTTTATTTACTCTATATCAGAATGTTTCATTCCTTGGTAAATTTTTAAAGGGTTTTTTGTTTTTGTTTTATTTTACCAACTCCTGAAAAGATCAGAGGTTAAAGTAGTGCCGAGTATGAGGTGCGTCTTGTAATCTCAGCACTCCATGGAGAGGCCGAGACAGGAAGATCACAAGTTTGTGGCCAGCATGGGCAATGCTGGGACTTAGTGTGAGTCTCAAAGAATGCACATAAAAATTTAGTGTTGGGGGTGTAGCTCAGTATAGAGGCTCTGGGTGGAATTCCCATTATAGAAAATAAGTAGAATGGGTTGATTCATGAATCAGTATGTTTAAATTCTTTAGATCTTTTTCATGACCAAAGAAAGTTAGGATAAAGGATAATAAGGCTTTATCATAAGAAACAAAGGAGACATATAATTCAATTTTATAAACATTTACCTAACTTATTTTGTAATCAAAGTTACCGTTACGCTTATCCTTTTAGCATACTAATGTGTACTATTCCTTTCATTTTCTCACTGTCAGCAAAGTGTGGGACGCTGTCTCGGGAGATGAATTGATGACCTTGGCGCACAAACACATCGTCAAGACTGTGGATTTCACACAGGTACAAGAAAATGGAATCGGTGGGGATGTGGTGCAGTGGTAGATTCCCCCTCCAATGTGCGGGGACCTAGGATCAACCCCCAGCAGCACATGCAAAAGAAGAAAGAAAATGACATGAAACTTACTTCCGATGAGTCACTGTTATTGCACCGTATGATAGTGTTTTTACATTTGCTGCTTTGTGCATTTGGTTTGTGTTTTAAATGGACTATTTGGTGTACATTGGTTTTTGTATATTTGGTTGTATATTAAATTACACAGATTTGGTTTTTTCGTAGTTCATTCTGTGAGGTTTTCCAAAACTATGAACTCTTCTTCTCAACCCTCCACCAATCACAGCAAACATCTAAAAATCTCTAGTAATATTCTCAACTGCTTTCTCAAGGGAAAAGAGAAATTTGAGACCATCAGTGAAGTGCTTTGTGGGAGGGAGGGGAGAATCAAGGCAGAAGGACAATCTGTGTGGTGGGTGGGTGGGTGGTACACGTTTAAACTGGGACACGTGAAGGGCTGCGCAGTTGTGGTAAGGCGCCAGTTCCCAGTGTCTGCTCGCTACACGTCTGTGATGTTTGTGACTATGTTTGGATATTATTAGGTATTGAAGAAGTTTCCAAGAAAAACAACTTTTCTTTTCTTTTTTTTTTTTTTTTTTTTTTTTTTATTTCTTTCTTTCTTTCTTTCTTTCTTTCTTTCTTTCTTTCTTTTTTTTTGTATTTTAGGAAAGGTTCTACAGGGTGTTCAGGGTGTCACTACTAGATCAGACTCTTAGTGATCTGCCTGTTTACAGCCTCCCAAGAGCTTGGATTACAGGCCTTTGCCACTATGCCCAGTCTTGAAAAACAACTATTGAAGTGACTGATCTGTTGACATTTTCTTTTTCTCTAGGATAGCAATTACTTGTTAACTGGGGGACAAGACAAGCTGCTACGCATATATGACTTAAACAAACCTGAAGCAGGTACATGTAAAGTGTATATTAGTCTGTGATTTTATTTTAATTTTAAATAACTTCTTTTGATTAAAGGGTACTCATTTGGAAAAGAAAAAGTCAAAATAAACTTGCAACATAATTATACTATTAATCACTGTTAATAATGCTAGTTTTTTCTTTATATCCTGTGTTTTTATTGCTACGTAGATAGTGTTTTAGTATTGCTTATTTGCTACGTTACTCTGGTATAGCTTTCTTAGAATTTAAAAATGTATTATGGTAAGGTTTTTTTGTGACACTAAGTAGTGCCACTATCTTTTAGTAATTTGTAGAATGGTGTTCTGGGGCTGGCACAGCATGCGGTACTGCAGATCGAACTCAGGACCTTGTGCTTGCCAGGCAGGCACTCGGACTGCCGAGCTATCTCCCAGCCCCAAAACGGTAAAATTTTTGAACCATATAAATGTACTAGGTGTTCAAAACAGTGTTGAAATCTGCAGTGATGTTTGTCTATCAGCCCTTTAATGACTGTGGTTCTCTTCTCTCCGGGTGTGCATAGTGAATTCATCAGTTTCCTATCAAGGCCTATTTGGACTATTTTACACGTTTTTAACATTAAAAGCCAGTATTATGCTAGACATTCTTACAGCTGCCAGTACTTTCACAGTGGTTTCTTTAAGACAATAAGCGAAAGTAGGAGCATGGACCACTTGGCCGAGCAATGGCTAACCTGCAGGGCAGAAGCATGTGGGCTTGTAGGCTCGGGGGAAGAGTGAGTGGCTAAGCAGCAAGAAGTTTACATTGGTGCAGCTCTTGAGCCTGCCCTTGACCTTCCCCTCCCCAAGACAACCTGCCCACCCTGCAGGCAGCTCCCCACCTCAGCTGCTCTGCTCCTGCTCGTCCCTTACACTGATACTTGAAGGGGAGGCCAGCGAGTGCTCAGCTTCAGGACGCCTTTCTCTAGGGCGTCTCCCTAGTCCGGGCGTTCTTGGCCGAGAGAGCCTCTGGGGGCTTCTTGGAGCTGGGGTTCCAAGGCATCCTTTGTCCTGTGTCGCTGTGGTCCCACACTGCAACAGGATTGGAGTCGTGCAGTGGTTGAAGGTTATTGACAGTGCTCAAGTCACTTTTTACAAGATAGACATACATTTCTGTACCTAATTTCTGTTAGTGAACACTGGCAACATTTTTGCCAGTTTAATAGAAAAAATTATTCTGTTGTATTATTACGAAGTTTAAAATTACTGTTGACATTTAAATGCTCTTCGGTATCATTTTCACATATTTTCTTTTCTATAAACAAATGGTCTCTGTGCCCATTGTCCATTTATCTTACTGGTTGTTGTGCTCGCTGTCTTAATCTTTCCCGCTGCTAGGGCAGAATAGCTGAGCACAGCAGAAAGGAAGAGGGTTATTTGACTCACAGCTGCAGTGGGGCCAGTTCACAGCTGGCCGGCTTTGGGGCAGAAATGGCCTGGTGATAGGACGGGGAAGCTGCTCACCCTATAGCAGCTAGGAAGCAGAGGGCAAAAGGAGCCAGGGAGCAGAATACACCCTTCCAGAGCAGTCGCCTGTAACGCGCCTCTTCTGACCAGCCTCTACCTCTGCTGAACGCTAGAGACTCTGGGGGGACATTTTCAACCTAAACCATACTATCATTTCTTTAACCTCTCAGGGTTGGGGATCAAACCCAGGGCCTCACACAGGGCAAGTGCTTTATTGCTGAGTCATATCCCCAGCCCTTTCTTTCTATTTTTTAAAGGTTATTTAGTACTTTTTAACTTGTCCCTTGCATTTAAGTTGTGTTAAATTTCATGGAATATATATAAAGTTTTGATGGTTAAATCTGAATCTAAGAATTTTCATTGTATATAAGTTGTGGGTGTCTTTCTAGTGCACCTCTATACTTTTTAATAGTATTAATGATTTCCTATATACATTTTTATATCTAGTGAATAGACTTGTTTTAGTTATTATATACTAGTTGCTATTATGAGCATTTGTTATCTGTAAATCTATAAAATGTAGAAATGATAACAAGTTAAAAATACATTATGTTCAAATGAGAAGGGGAATGAGAGGGGTGGGGGAAAGGAAAGAAGGGACAAGGAGAAAGGAACATTGTGGGCTTGGGATGAGGCTCAGTGGTAGAACGCTTGCCTCGTGCATAAGAGCCCTTTGTTTATACTTAGTATAGGGAAAAAAACATTTTAGAAATAATAAGAGTGCTTTGAAATCTTGTGGCACTTAACAGATTTTTTTTTATTCTCCATTGGTGCTTAGGAGTTTTCTGCATTCTTTGCAATAGACTTAGGCCAAAATGTAGCAGAATTCTCTAGCCTCACTCAGTGAATTTGACAAAGCAGTGTACTTCAGGCCTTGGGTGGGCAGTTTTTCATTCTTTTTACCTTTCCCAAGGGGTGAGGTGGGACAGGATCTTGCTGTGTTTAACACTCAGGCTACAGCCAGGAAGATGGCTCAGTAGAATAAGTGCCTGCCTGGAAAGTGCAAGAGCCTGGGTTCAATACCTGGTTCTGCCAGAAAAAAGTAACCCTCAGGCTGGCCTTAAACTCACATCACTCCCTTCTCCAGTCTCACAGATGCTGGGGATTATGTGTGTACCACAACTCTTGACCTCCAAGCTGCTTTTTGAATTTGTTCTTCCACTGAGCCAAAAGTAGAACTGATAGCAATTAAAGGAAATTTTACTATATGTTGGATGCTGTGTTAAATACTTTTAGTTATGTGTGTATATGAGCTACATCCCCAGTCCTTTTTTAATTAAAAATTGCATTATTTTAAGGACAAGGTCTTGCTAGATTGCACATGCCAGGCTTCAGTTTGCGGTCCTCCTGCCTCAGTTCCTCAGAGTGCTGGAATTACAAGTATGGGCTGCCTCACTTGTCTTAGATATATATTCTGGTTAAACTGAGATATAATGACTATGGTTATTTTATTTATAGACAAATTAATATAGTTCTCATTTTGTTTATAGATAACAGGATATAACTTTCAAAGAAAGTTAATATGCTGTAAATCTAAGAAGTGTGTAATGGTATTTCGGTTAGTCTCTGCGTTTGCCCAGAGGTGACAATGAGGACCTCTTTGGAATCTCCTTGAAGACAGTCTCCAACAGAGACAGCCCACCTCCCTACCACTACTTTTTCATTATTATTGTTGATGCCTTCTTCTCTGGGAATGTTTATGCCGCTTTATTTCCTATTTTTCCTCCAGTTCGTACTTTGCCTTTTTTTCCCTGTTAGTTGCTACCAACAGTGGCTTAGATAAAAGTCCCAAGTCACCTTGTTCCTTCACATTCCTGTGAAGTCATGCCACATGAGTTATTTTAACATTCACTGTATTGTGGTCTGATGCTGCTTTGGGCTATTACCAGTTGTGTAGAAATGAGCTTTGCAGGGACAGTGGCACACTTAGCCACTGGACAGCCAAGATCACCGTTATTCTGTTCCTTGGTATGTGAATGAATTTTTGTTCCAGTGTTGAAAAACTATGTGTTCAGTAAGCATTGTTTGAATTTTGCTGGGCTTTAAAAAATTATGGGGTAGTAGTGTACAGCGGTGCATGCACTTGGGAGGATGAGGCACAAGGATTTCCACAAGTTTGAGGCCAACCTGAGCTACACAGTGAGTTCAAAGCCTGAACTACAGAGAGACTCTAGCTCAAAAAAAATAATAACAATTTGAAATATACCTTTTTATATATTTAAATTGTTCCCATATTTCTCAATTTAAATACTTAAATTCTAAAAATATTTTAAAATTGTTTCATTTTAAGAACCTAAAGAAATCAGTGGTCACACTTCTGGTATTAAAAAAGCTCTGTGGTGCAGTGAGGATAAACAGATTCTTTCAGCTGATGACAAGACTGTTCGGTAAGTAATGTCTTTAATGTAAATTTGAGAAATGTTTTTACCTTATAGTATTTTAAATATTCTTTATAACTTTTGTAGAAAAACATTGTCTGGCATTGAAGTTTAAATTGCATGTGGCTCATGTTTCTTTGGAGTTATCCATTTACTACTATGTAAATAAGGTAGATGAGAAAAAAACATAAAACTGACGCTTTATGACAGATACCCTTAACCTAGGTCTGTGGATGGGTTAACTGACAGTTCATGAAGCCCATAAAATTGTATACAAGGGCTAGCCAGATAGCTGAGTGGACTAAAGCACCTGCTTAGGCAGACTTGGACTGGGGTTCAATTCCTGGTGTGCTGTGCCAGCCCCGCTGCCCAGGCACGCTGATCACTATGTGTCCAGTCTGTGTGGTGAGACTCTGTAGACCCTGTACTAAATACCAAATATATA